ATGCGTATGAGTGGTCTAGAAAAAGTGCACTTAAAAAACATATGAACCTGAACCAACAAAATGGAACCTGATCTAAACTACATTTTATGATTGGATAAATTAGATATTTTACCACTGTAAAGTATTTAATATTAACCAATCATGATCCATCTAACTAACAACCCACTTATTTGTAAGTGCTGAAATTACCTGTAATTTCAGCACCAGAGAGATTTGAATTTAACTTAGAAATTAGTTGTCTCTCCAAGAGAACTTCAGCAGCCGCAACAAACCAGTATACCCTTGATCTATTGAGCCTAGCAGAGACTAGTTAAACACCCTGAGACTAGAAAGTATAAGAGTAAGATTAGGATCGGTATTAGACTAAGAAGTTGCACGAATCTATCCGGTCGAAAATAAGATAGCGTGACGAGCAGACGGTGTACCCTATCCGAAATTACTCTATGAGTTAACCATATCGGACTTAACTCATCTGGTGCGACCATAAGTCTCGAACAAGACCTTAAAAGCTTAGAATTAACCAAAAATAGATTAGAATTTAGACAAAACATTTTTAAAATGTTATACGACGATAATTTAATCGAAATGTCTCTACGACTCAATAGATCAGAGCCAATATTCCGAACAATAATAGAACTACCCGGAATTGGAAGAAGACCTCGAACCAGAGACGACATACGACAAAGTAGAAACTTACCAAATAGTTATATGATAGTACGGCAAAAGCCAACACAAACTTTTATATTTAGAATTTTATTAGCAATGAATTTAGATTTTCATTTGCAAACATAAAACCTTGAAGTCAATCTTCATGATCATTTCAGGCGCTAAACAAATCTCAGATCGTTTTCCTAAATTCTGCAGTATTATATAAAACATGTTTCAAAAATATTTATTAAAAATCAAAACAAAATTAGTAGCATGACAATAAATTGTTAGTAATCATAAAATCATCAGTTGTCCCAGCTTCATCACCTAAACATAACAGCAATCATAAGCTCACTAAATATCAAAACTAACATTTTGAACAATTTAAACCATTTTAAACTTAAAATATAATTTTAAAATAAGATCATCAAGGCTTATCCTTGGATCTACATTAAATTTTTCTATTTCATTAAATTTAAAACTTGATCATCAAGGCCTATCCTTGGATCAAAAAGAACAACTTTGTTCTCCCCCACCCACTTAGCTAGTGTCTAACGACCTCAAACGTCGATTCACTATCCAACCCTTTCAAAAAACCCAAGACTAATAGAAATTTTTGAACAAAACTAATCATTCAAATTAGGATAATCACACCTCATACACAAACAGTTGGATATATTAGAACAAAACGACAAACACTAAAAAGGAAAATAATAACCAAACAAAGACAAATCACACAAAAAAGATTTTCAAAAAATAGAAACGCATTTTCAGAATCAGAAGCCAGCAATTTAGACAAACTTTATAAATTAAAAGAATCTATTGATAAAAATTGCCCCATTCACGATCAATTATATTTTTCCGACTCAGAAACAACTTCAAATTCATCAAAAAGAGGAAAAAGAAGAATACAAAAGCAATATAAACACAAACCAGTACACTTGTATAATTGGAATCAACCAATTAGACACATCGATAATTACCTATTAACAGTCATTAAACGAAAAAATGAGCCAAACACACATTCCAAGTGAAGATAGTCCAGATGATGACGATATCTACCCCTTCCTCGTAGATGCACCCGATAATAGAGGACAATATGATCTTTGCAAGAATTTCCTCCTAAATTTGTTTGAACCCGGAATCAGCCCATGTAAAGCAGAGTTCCCAGATGTAAAAATCAAAAGACAAATTATTGGTCACTATCTGAAAGATATATGTAATTTAACACAACAATACGGAATCTACACCATAGAATTCAGTACACCAAACCCGAATCACCGCAGATATGTAATTCAAACAGATGATCTTGACTTAGAATTTTCAAAAGTATTCTTAGAATATATAAAAAGCATACAATATCATAACTCACAAAGAGCAAACTCCATATTTACTAATGAAGTTTTTGCAATAATATATAGTTATATTTCAATATTAGAAAACGAAACCCCAATCTCAAATGTCTCACCGACAGAGACATCCAAACATTTAAGGGTACGACATGAAATCACACTATTTTCAACTTTCCTACATATAATTAAAGAAAATTTCACTAAAGATGAAGTTTCACAACATACAAAACATGACTTACAAAAAATTTTGGCATGGTTTATAATAGATTATTTCACACATAATATAGATTTAATTTCACAAGCAAGAAAAAATTTCAGACCTCAAAATTCAAACGATGATACCGCCATCACAGAACAGTCAGACTACGTTTGGGACCCCGAATGGTCTCATTATGCATTCATAAATATTCCACAATCAATCTCAAGTCAAGCAATAAGTACAATATCTTATGCAAGAGATTATGTAAGAGTAGTACCATTAACCATTGATGCAACACCATTAAACTACAATACATTTTTACCTGATACGCGAAATAACAGTTTAAATTCGACCGTCATACACAATGAAAACCTTAATGGAACTAGGAATCTCACTCAACAAGACATCAAACACCATCACACTTCATAAATGAAGAAATCGTTCAGACAACAACAACTACACAACAAAGTATTTCACCGATACGTCCAAATTTAACAACACCAAGAAATACAAACACTTCACTAGCACAGGTAACCTTACAATCAACCGTTAAGCCTTCGGTTGCTCCAAAATATTCACAAATGGATTATCAAACATATAGACCCATGACAATACCGTCAAAAACACGCAGAACGTTCACAAGAATCACTTTTGCGGAACACAATTATAATTACGCACATTCATCAAAAACAAACTATCCCCCACGAAAAAATAATAATAATCAGATAAGATCTCAATATTGCGATAACCCAATGGCAACAACCAACTCAGTAAATTTTCAAACTAATTCACATCCTCCACAGGATCGTAGTGAAAATTACCCATTCTTTCAACAGAATAAAAATAAAAAACAAGCACCTCATCAAACGGATTATCTATCCTCTGATGATGATTATTTACAACCATCATCTACATTTCTGAATGTAGACAAAAACAACAGAACAATCAAAATAAACCTCAAAAGCACAAAGAACCAAATAAATCAAGAATATCGTGGACTCAAGAATATCGTGGACAAAGAGTGCAGAAACCACATACATATCATAGAAATTTTTCTCCACATCCAATAGATACACAAAATCAACAACCAATACAAATGCAAAACCCAATTAATACACAATCTTTTTAACCAATTCAGCCACAAAACCCAATGATTACACACTCATATCAACCAACACAAATGCAAAATGAAATACCACTCCCATATTACCTTCAACAACACGAAATAACAAAAAATCAACTTTCAAATTTTTCACAAATGCCAAATGCCGCAGAATCATTACAAATGACAATGAATCCATACCTTATGGGTGGATCATCAATAACATCAAACAAACCATTCATGGTATTCACAGGAACAAACCCTGAATATTCTGTAGAAGATTATTTAAATGCAGTAACAGCAAATTTAATTTTAATTATAGGACCTGAGCCA